TCTCGTGAATTCTGTTTTCACAGCCTCGTTTTCCTGGCTGCCTGTGGGGAAGTCACTGCTTACTTCACTATTTGGCTTCAGACAGCGCTAAACATGGGTTTGTAGGGAGGCTGAGGGTGTTGACACTTCCGCTAACAACCCTGCCCCTCCCGCCCCCAACCTGGAGGCAGCCTGAAACATGGGACTGAAATCCCACCACACACGCAATGGGCTTCAGTGGACCCCTCCTGCACCACTGTCTGTCTCAGTGACGTACTTCTGTTAAGATCTCATCTCCCCCAAATCCACATCTAACTTTAGCACACAGACCTGTCCCTGACCATATGGCCACAAAAAAGACTTGCTCAGCACTCAGGCAGAAGGCTGGGAGTGTGTAATAGAGGGTTTAGTTCCCCAGGGTGTTGAACCAGACTTACCGGGATGGCCTCACTGTGGGCCTGTTATGTGTCAGACCCTGATCAAGTGCTTTATCTCCAATCCTTCCAGCATCCTATCAGTTGGGTATTGTCATCCCTACTTTGCAGATGAGGCATCTAGGGCTCAGAAAGGCTAACCCACTTGTGCAAAGTCACAAAACTCTAAGTGGCTATAAAGAAATTAGAATTGGCAACAAGTTTCATGGTGCATGCAAAGCACAGATTTGGAGAATTACCATCAACATTCCAGAGACACATTTTTATGGTGTATGCAAGATTGGTGACCCTCCAGCAGGGCGAGTACTACTTAGAGGCCACCGAGCAGAGCTAAGATTCACGTAAACGGTCAAAAGGACTGATCTCATCATTCTCAGAGCCCCAAATAAATCCGCTAGGACACCCGCCTCTTTAGTGTCCCTGTTTCCAATGCTGCTCACTTTGCAGCTTGGAACTGGAATTTAAACTGGGAAAGAAAAAGAGGAGGAGGGGCTATATGTCTGAGCCATGCGTTGGTCAGGCCTTTACCTACAATATGATCTCTATTTTTTACTTCTACCTGACTCCTCTATGTAGCTCTCAACTGGCTGAGAATCTGTATGTGGTGGGGGTGCAATTAAGTGGCTCCTTCCAAACCCCCAAAGAATTTGAAATACACATTAGGATCAGCATAGGTATCCTTATTTAACCAATGAAGAAGCTGTGTTCATAGAGGATGGGTACCAGTTCCAAGTTGCACAATTAGTGGTGGTGCTGGGCTAAGTCTATCTCAGTGCACAGACTGCCCCCTACCCAGCGAGAAGGTGATGGAGAAATCTTCCCAGCACTCCACAGAGATAAGGAAGTCAGACTTGGTTTTATCACTTTACATCCTTAAAAAACATCAACAACAAAAAAACTCCCAGCTGGGGAGCATGTTTTCAAAAAAGGTCAAAGCTTTCAGTTCTTAGTATTGTTGAACCAGCAGCAGGTCAGCATATCTTGAGATCTTTCAGAAAAATCTACCCTCTCATTCACCTCCTCCCCCTACCTTCCTTTTTATTTCTCCTTAGGGCACAGACTGAAAGCCTCACAGGGAAGAAAAAGGTTTCAACCACCAGCAAAATCAGTGCCTGCAGCTCAGGTGATACTGCTGTTGGGTCCATAAAGAACACATGGGGGTGACTGGAGAAACCGCCAGGAAGACCAGGTTATTGCACCAGCCCCACCTGACAGGACAGATAGCCTCCATCCTGCACCATGTTGTCATCAATCATGCTTAGGAAGGGGCAGGAAAGTGACGGGATGACAAAGACACAAGAGGAAAGCTGGTGTG